ATATTGGGATAATGGAAAAGAAAATGAAAACTACTATAATGGGTTATATAGGGGTTATATAGGGTTATATAGGGTTATATTGGAGTTATATTGGGATAATGGAAAAGAAAATGGAAACTACTATAGTTATGTAGTACTGTATAGGGGTTATACAGGGGTTATGTAGGGAATTTTAGGGTTATATACTGGGGATTATCTTGGGAAAATGGAAAAGAAAATGGAAACTACTGTAATAGGTTATATCTGGATTATGAGGTATTAGGGGTTATCTTTTAGGTGGACCCCCCACCCAGTAATGGTGATTACAAGGGATAATAGGGATGATATTAGGCTGCTCCTATATTCTTATTATCTATAATAAGTTACATAGGGATTATAAGGTATATATTGGGAGAATGGACAATAAAATGGAAACTACTATATTATATTGGGGTTGTATTGGGGTAAAATGGGGATAATGGAAAAGAAAATGGAAACTACTATGTTACATTGAGGTTATATTGGGATAATGGAAACCGAAATGGAAACTACTATATACCAGGTTTTGGGTTGGTTTTGCGTGAGTTCTTTGTTGCGGTTTTGCCCTTTACATGTTTGTTTCAGCTGGGCTTAAACTTAAGGGTTTGTGGGCTGGGGCTTCCTCTTCAGCGTCCCTAAATCAGTACACGTCAAGGAAGCTCCTGATTAGGTGCTCAGATTTCTTCGGAACGCAGGATCCCATCCCTACCCATCTCTGCAGGCAGTTGGCAAGCGCTTGCCGCCAAGCTTTTCGATGCGCTTTCCCAGGCTGTGCGCCTGCAAGCCAACATCATCAGGGGTTAAGGCGCATCACACCGACAAGTTGCCTAACAGCCAGTATTGCCTTAGATAAGATGCGGGTGACGGGGTTCTGCTGGGCATTAATTGTGTGCCCAAAAGCGTTGTACTGCAGGCACCACAGACACCAGTGGAATGTCGCAGCCCGTGTCATGCTTGGGAGGGCTCATGCTGAGTTCTGCAAGCTTTTGAGTGTCCAGCCGTCTGGTGCAGCTTCACCTCCTGCGAACTTCGCATCGCAGCAAGATGCGCCTGGTAGCAGCATTCCAGCAGCGTCTGCAGGGCCACCCGTGTTGGAAGCCACAGTACCAGGAAGAGCTTGCGCCTCGCGTCTTGCGGTGCGCTCATCGCTGGCCTGGAACCCGACAAATTTGTTCCGACACTCCAGCAACACCCGTCTAGGTAGCAGCTTTGTTCAAATCAAAGCGCAGATGCGTTTCAGGAAAGGTCCACATACTCACAACAGGACATTGGGGCATATTACGTAGTATATCGTAGTATAGCTAGAAAAACTTAATTCCAAGCTTCTTGGAGCTTGCTGGAGGCCCCCGGCACATCGGATCCACGCTGAGAAGCAGCGAAGGCCTGCAGCAAGGCAGCTACCCAAAATGATGCCACCATTCAATTGTGTGTGTCCAGAATATTAGCTGCGAGTTGAACACGGCTCCCATAACGGGCCGCATCCCTTTTTTCTTTAGAAAGGGGATTTTGGAAACCCCAACCACCAAATTAAGGATCCTATAACCATCATATGATAGTCATAGGGTCCCAATTTTGGGAGTTGGGGCTACCAAAATCCTTTTATTCTTCTTAATCCCAAGAACCAATTCCTTCATTCCCCACCGCTCTCATCACTTCGAAAACAACTCGCCCAAGCTAGGAAGGCCAAGGACCCAGCAGAGCACAAACTGAATGTCGGAGCGCAAAGACCCGGCTGCCTGCTTTGCAGCAGGCTTGCTGGACCCAGAAACCTTGTTACCCTCCCTGGTTTGCAGTCAAGAAGGCAGTGGGAGACATTGATAGGTTACTCTGAAGGATTTGTGGACCAGTTGCCTAGGAATCAGCCTATGACGTATCAAGTAACACGGTATGTACTTGCCCTTCCTGTCGGTGTCCTTAAACTGAGCAATGCCAGCATCCAAGACACTTCTCAAGAGACAGGTTCTACAGTGAACGGGCTGAAGTATCTTCGGAAATGGACAAAGGCAGGCATGACCTTAATCTAAAACAATGCATTCAAGCACTTGTGATGCCGAACAAGATGCGGGCGGGTTGTTCACTAAGAGTCTGTCGGCTGAGGTGGACGCTGTGAGTGGGGTTGGAAGTACAGGCCATGACCCCTTAACAAAAGGCTGAAGGTATTATGCGCTGCGTGGAGGCAAAATGCACACTGCGTGACGGCTACAGCCAAGCTGTCCAGACGCAACCACAAAACGGCAGCAGGCCCTGAGACTCTCAAAGCCTAAGTTTTCCTCTGCAGAAATCCGATTCGATTCCTTGCAGATTTCCCGTGTCTCCTTGAACAAAGGATAGTACCAAATACCTCTGTGCACCTAGTTCCCGCATGCTCCTAATTCCTGACCACCATGCCTGCACTAGAGCTCTCGCATCGGTTGAGGAGCGACGGGACCACAAACAACATGAGGATCTCCCAACAAAGGTTTCATAGCTTTCCGAGTTATAAGGGACCATGCAACCCCAAGAACAGTGGATCTGAAAACTTTACCCGAAAGCCTAAAACCCCAACGCAAAGCATTGAAACCCTAAGCATACCTGAACCATAACTCTAGTCGCCCTAATCCTTCAACCCCAAACCTTTCAACCCGCACCAGTGAACTTTACTTTCCTTGCACTGGCTTCCCGCGGCTCCTGCTTTGCTGCCCCAAGCTCGGCAAGGCCATTCAAGGCCTGCTTGCAAGCTTACAGACATCCTCAAGCAGGTAGAGTTTCGGGTTTGGGGTTCAGAGTTTGGGGTTCAGGGTTCAGGGTTTGGGGTCTGAGGTTTAAGCTTCTGGCTTAAGATTGCAGTTCTTGCTCCCAAAGTGGGGAGACTACTTAAGTGTCTTAGATGGTAACGACAGCGCAATGAAAAGGAAACTGTGCTTCTACGAGTTGGGAAAATCACCAGGTGGCTGGGTCTAAACTTGCTGGCCAGGATTGTCAGCGTGAGGACACCCAAACTTGACTCGAATGTTGACCGAGCTTCTTCTGCTCGAATACCCGAAGAGCATCAAAAGCACTCTTGTTACATGCTTGTAGAGAGTAGGATGCTCCACACTTGAGATACCTTGTTCTAGCGTTAATATGTGAATACGGCCAGTTTTATCAGTGCGTCATTATTGTCATTAGGCAATCCTATGCATCGTGACTCACGACCGTTACGACCAGCATGCTGGCTTCTCTGGCCATCACCTGTCTTCTCCCTTGCACCATTTTACCGGAATCAAGGCGCTGCCAACAATCAGGAACAAGCTCTAGATACAGCAGCTGGCGGACATCTTGCAGGAGTTTTTCTCGAAAGCGATGATGCGCAGTCTGGGCCGCTATTTTGCAGCCCGAGCGCATGCAGACTGTGCATCACATGGTCAGTCACAACGAAAGGCTGGACGTGCCCGCCACGTACATGGATATGACCTGCCGAGGTTAGCTTTGCGCTCGCGCAGACAGTAACCCTAGCTGCTAGATCTAGAAAGCAACTACAATCTACAAGTACGTCCACAGCAAGTATTCTCTTGATTGTTGGAAGAAACCCCACTACAACTACACATGGCAAACGTCGTGGGCTCTTTTCATGGATGTTAGGAGGTTGCGTGCGCTTCTTTACGCATTTGGAAACCTTGGAAGACTGCTTCATGGCAAGGGGCCGTGTCCCTTTCCCTCGCATCAGTGGTCACGCGCAGGGATTCAAGATCCTGCCGCAAGGTTTGGAATCTGGAGGCGCGAGTTTGAGAGACTTGCTCATGAGATGAGGAAACCAAAAGGATCTGGTCCATGGAGGGAAGGATTCGGGATTCGGCGTCCCAAACTGCTGCAGACGGCTCCCAGGTCCTGCACCACATGGCAGCCTGGCACAGGGCTGTATGAATCTTGTTGAATGTTGCAAAGCCACAAGACAAGGAACAAAAAAAGAGTAACGAGCCCTCACTGCCTAGCATTGGATAGCTGCATATGCAACACAGGTGGCTTCCCCATCTGAAGTTGCAATACTGATGCACAGCTGATTGGGTACGCCTTTGCTGGAGCGCTGTTTTCCTGCATCCTTATCTTCCCTCATCAGGATTGGAATTCGAACACGGTATGCGGCTTCTTTTGGGTTCCATTGTGCAGTGCAAGCGGCATCACTCTTCCTATTTACAGAGCCGAAGAAGGAACCCTGAGATACTTTAAGCAGAGATTCTACAGTGTCCCAACAGTTGTAAGAAGTAACTTCCCTAACACCTTGGGCATATCCACATCCTGCCCAGTCAGCTGCACCTCTCTGCCAGTGGCCCAAGTCCCGCAGGCTGCCGAGGAAGTGGCCCAGGGCCAGCTCTTCCGCCTGGTGACAGGATTTGAAGGCATCACGATGCTTTGTGAGCAACCTCCAAGACCTACCACGGGTTGAGTGGTTACATGTGGTTACACTTGTGCCGCAGGATGTCACTGCGAAGTCGCGGGCTTTTTGGCTAACTGCCGGCGCTGTAGAGGCTGTCTACTATAAATCGAAGCTGTTGCAAAACCAGCAGGTGCGATGCAGGCGATGCCTGCATGCATTGCTGAGCAGGTGCTCGTCGTCTGCATCTGGCATGATCCATTCTACGGAAGGAATTGACCCCTACATCTAGAAGCGGCCCGTCAGCCAGGAGCAAGCCAGCTGCAGATGACTGATGGCCGCAAACGGGCCTTGGGTTAAAAAAGGTGGAAACGTTTGGTTCGCCGCACGAGCGGAGAGCCAAAAGACTGCCTCATGGGAAGTCAAGCTTCAAATGGTCCTTGAAACAAGCCGGAGCTCGGGAACCTGGATCGCAGCGAATTCGTCTTGAAAAAGAGAGCTTCACTTGTGGTAGCATCAGCAGATACATCTGCAGGCATGCTGCTTTTAGCGAGCCTGCACAAGCCTTTCACTGAGGTCCCACAACTTGCGGCATCGCGCATCATCAGCAGCCTCTCCACCAATCTCGTCAACGGTGAGTGTGCGGAAGCTGCCGTAGTTCATGAACCAATCCAGTTCCTTGTCCTTGTTCTCCACAGCATCTTTGCCACCACTTCCTCCTGTTCCTGCCTCACCTCCCCAGCTGTAGTAGGAGCCAGATGTTGCATACCTCTCATCTGCAACCTTAGTTTGTAAGATGTGTTTCAGTGGGAACCTGCTCCTAGAACCCCCGGTTTATCTGCATCCACGGGGCACATGCTGCAAGGCGCCTGCCAGCCTCCTCCTGACTGACATATGCTTTCGTGACGGTCTTGTGGAAAGCGGGGAAGAGGTTCTGGAAGAGAGGGTAGTGTTCACGGAACAGACCGGTCTCCGCAATGCATCCCGGGTAGAGCGAGGTGAAGACAATGCCTGTCTCCTGGTGATATCGACGATGCAACTCCTTCATCAGCATTACATCACAGACCTTGCTGTCCTTGTATGCTTTTGCACCATTGAACTCATGGGCATCAAGCATAGACACGGGGGCCTTCATGCCTTTCTCCAAGCCCTCGAAATTGCCCACGTGCGCCAGTGGGGGGATCATTCCTCCCAACTCCGCACCATTCACAGTCGCAGTCACCGTGCCCAAGATGACGCAACGAGCTGGCTTCACAGTGCTGCGCTTCAGATCCTCCAAAAGTAGGTTGCAGAGCAGGAAATGGCCGAGGTAGTTTGCGGCAAAGCTGAGCTCATGGCCATCTGCGGACCAGCGGGGGCCCTCTCCTGCGAAGAGACCCGGAAGGAAGATGCCAGGCTTGTGCGCATTGGGGAAGTACACGGCCGCATTGCACACCAACGCATCCAAGGGCCGGTTCATGGCGTGGAAGGCATCCACAAAATGGCGCACACTGCGATTGGAGGCAAGGTCGCAATGGAGCACCTCGTAGGAGTCCGCGAACATGCCTGCCTCCTTGGCTGCTTTCTCTGCCTTCTGGAAGTCCCGACAGGCCATGATGACATACCACTCGCCACTTGCTGCCAACTCCTTGGCAGCGTTGAGGCCAAGGCCGGAGGAGGCCCCGGTGATAATCACCGTCTTCTTGCCGGGAGGCGCCATGAAGGGGATCGAGGGCAGCTGGACGGAGAACTGCCGAGCCGTCTGAAGCTTCCTAGCGGCCTTGGTGCGCTGGCGCCGGCTGAGGCCGGCCAGGCCAGCAACCCCAAGGGCCCCGCCCAGGAAGCTGGATGCTCCGAGCTGTGCACCGCCATGCGCGGAGTGCTGTGCGGATTCCGCAAAGCTCTGTGCTGGCAGGTTGCGAGTCACCGGAGTCGAGGCCGTTGCGACGGAGAATGCTGGGGCGGCGAGCATTTCGATCAAGCAAGCGGCTCTAAACAAAAAGACGGGTCTCAGCTATGCGAGCTCTGATACCAAAATGGCTGCGGCACGGACCTCGCAGTCCTGCATGCAGGCCAACCAATTCTTCCAGCCCCTCTGCTTCATGAATTTTTGGACTGCTTGCAGGCAACCCACTTCACGCGAATATACAGCCGGCTACCTTCGTCCGCGCTACCGACCCAGTGAGCAGCAGAAGGGCCCACCTGAGATTCAGCCACACATCCGAGAAGCAGAGCAGAAACAGCCAGGTGTAACATCACATGAGCCAGAGTCTAAGCTCCTAGTATCCCCTTAATAACCCCTATAATACTCCTGTACAAACTTTATAACCCCTTTAAGAAATTTGGACTATGGCTCACATCCCACACGACAACTTTACCTGTCGTGACTGCAGCTTGGCCACTCCCAACGAAGGCCGCAGCAGGAAGAGATAGCAGCATTGACCTAACTTCAACGAGAACTATCGATAGCAGGATACTCAAAATACCAAAACAATGACAATAATACCCATAACAAAATAGCTACGTCCTGTTCAGACAAGGAGTCACGGAAATTCCAAAACTTTCGCTCTGGGGCATGGACTGCAATTGCATTTGGGCAGTATCCTTTGCTGCCCATTGTCCGGAGCAGCACCAGTGCCGACTGCCACTCCTACGGCTTTCCAAGTTGACCCTTGATTCCCCTGCATGCAGCAGCTGTCAAAACGGGCTGCCGAGAAAAGTGTGCTTCTCGCCGTCCAGAAAACCCAGCACCAAATTAGTGGCTATGTTTTGGCGGACAAGCTATCACAACAAACTTCCTGGAGAATAGAGATTGCAAAAGACAATCCAACTCCTCACAGGGGTGGTGGTGGCCAGTGTCTCCCCTACAGTTACAGACATGACTCATCTTCTCCTACTACTACTACTACTCCTCCTCCTCCTCCTCCTACTACTACTACTACTCCTACTCCTACTCCTACTCCTACTCCTACTCCTCCTACGACTACTACTACTACTACTACTACTACCACCACAGGTGACATGATTCAGCTGTCCTCTCTCTTGGCATGGGCATTGACCATGCCGCTGTAGGCGATTACCTGGCAGGCCGGGGCACGCTCCAAACGGTGGGTGTACAATATAGCAATAGTAATAATGTTGACTTCACCTTAAGA